AAAAAATTCCACCATCATCCAGCATATGTTCAGTTTCTGCCCAAATATTTTTTTTTTGTTGTAGATTTTTGTAACGGGGATAACTAGGAGAGCCTAATTCAAAACAGATTTTTTTGAATGAACTTTTTTTGTTCTCTACTCCCAAACTCAGCATCTCTTCATTCAGTCCTGTAAGAAGTTTCTTTTGAATCCGCATGTCTATGTGGACGGAGACGTGCGGAGGAGTAGCGGAGGATGTGGAACAGCTCCCATTGATTTACATGAAAGACTAGCGCTCCGCACGACGTACGTCAGCGAAGCAGAGCGCTGACGGAATATGTGGAATCTGGGGGTAAAGCCTCGAACCCAACGCCATTTCTAACATTTTGAACTAAAAAAGTGTTCTGGATGGAAGCAAAACACCTTCAAACTTTTTTGGAATTATTTTTCAGTGCTTTGGTCTTAAATCATTTCAATAAACCTCATTAGCAACATCAGGACATTAATTCAAGAGGAAATAATTAAAACAATGACTGCTTGTTTCTTCAATGCAAACATTTTTGATTTTTTTTTAGAAATTTACATAATAGATTATCAAAGAAAAGAACTACCAGCCATCTGCATTAGCTTATAGCTTAAGCTAATGTCACCCCTCCGCTAGTTATGGCGAACCTCACTCATTCACAGCGGTCAAAAACAGGAGAGGAGGAGGTAGAATAAGAAAAAGTCGGTAGAAGCCAACAAAATATTTTCTTTATTATGATTCTTCAATGTTCTTGTGTCATCAGCTGATTTAGGTTTATGACCTATGTCACTAATCCAAAACTAAGGCCAGTTTTTATAGAGTTGATCTGGTCACCCTAGTGGTGACCAGATCTCAAAGATATAACATGTGGAAAACTAGGATGCCTTTATGGGAGAATGTGGGACAGACGTTTTCAGCTGTGAGTATCTTTTGTGACTCACTTTTACAGTTTTGCATGTTAAAACAACTTCTGCAAACTTCCCAAGAAGCTCTAAGTTATAAACCATTTTAATTTGTTGTGGATGTGTTTTTTTTTGTTGTTGTTGTTTTTTGCTCTAAACTTCGTTTCCATCTGATTTTGCGTTAAAGTCCTTTACCTTCACCATTAGGAGGTTTGTGATGACAGAATGGGGGATCTGGTACAGCTCAGTGACAATAACTGCAGCTCTGCCTTCTTTATATTTATTAAAAAAGCCTTTAGGTGTTTTTTTTTTTTCCTTCTAATTTGACACAGTCAAATATGGGAAATTTATTCGATTTGTAGGAAAGCGAGACATGAAGGATAAATGCAGCAGTGTGCCACACAAATCAGGACATCTAGTCACTGGCAGAATAATACATAATAATAAATAAATTCCCTTACACGTTTTTATATTACTCTGTCCTTTGCATAGTTTAAGAACATGAGGGAAGGGCACAGACAGAAAGAGCAGTTCACCAGGAAGCTGTTTAAGAAACAACAACCATTCAATATAAACAGTTTGATGACTATATTTACTCTGGAAGTGTTAATTAATATTTTCGACACTATTTAAGCCCATTACTAATTTGAATCTCTTTGTTTAAATTTTAATAAAAAAAGAAGAATTTTAAACCTGCATGTCTAAACCTGCAGACCACAGTTTAATACTTATGTGATGTAAAGGTTTTGGGGTTTGCAGAATCCTTAGTGCTATGATACAGACAGCAGCTGCAGAAAAACCAGTGATATTTTTCATTTTAAAGACAAGTTTTTAATAATCTGATGCAGGTGGTACAAAAATGTTCACCTTTAAGCATAAATAATTAATAATGGATTAACGAAGACCACCAAAAAATAAATAAATACACATCATGTAAAGGTTGTAAAAATTATCCTATTTGATTGATGAATTTCTAAACTATGGTTTGATTTTATTTTATTTTTATATATATATATGTATATATTTTACTTTTAAAGCAATAAAAAAGATCAATTATGAGGAGAAAATTAAACATATTAACAAATTATCTACAGAAATTGTACCAAATCCCACAAATTTTCCCAAAGTTTTAAATGTTCCTCTCCAAACAGCACAGACCCCCCCCCAATAAAACAATAATTAAAGAAGCTTTCACAGAGGCTTGTTTGAACTTACCTGGTTCATCATAAACATAACCAACATCGAGCTGTTTGACGAAACAAGGAGAAGTCAGGTTAACTCAGAAGAGCATAGAAACAATGAGAAGCATTAACTATTATGAGTGGAGGCCCATATTTACCAGGAATTCTCCCATCAGGCTGTCTGCCCTCAGTGAATAGGAATTATAGACCTATAAATGGAAGGGTAAAAATAGGGATTTATACTGTAGCACACAGAGCTAACCACAACATTTCCATGTGCTGCACTAACCCGGAAACTGATGTTCTGCTCAAACAAATCTGATGGCAGCATGTGAACGTTGTAGAACATCATCTGCGTGAAGCCAGAGAACAATAAGATGGAAACTAAGGAACTTCAGCAAAACAAATCATCAGAACACAAACTGTTTACACTAGAAGATAAAAAGACCAAACCTCATCAAAGAATGGATTGTTTCCCTTCTTGATCCTGGTCCTGTGGGTCTGTCCACACACATGAACCTTCACCACAGGTTTGATGTTGTTTCCAGACAACTGGCGGGCTTCGATGACCCGAACACGGATCTGAAAGACACATTGGAGTTAAAAACCACTTAGTTCCATACGGTTATGCCTGTGCTGAATCTCAACTTCTTCTAATCCCAAGATAACTACGGGATTAATGAGGGAGAGCCGCTCATTCTAGGCTGCATAAGACACAGTCATGTGTACATATAAGCATTCACCATTACAGCTGCTGATGTTTTTAAGTAGATTAAAACTTCACAAAGCATTTGCATCTGCGTCCTTGTGCAGAATTCCTTAAATGTCTTTCCTTAAAAAAGGAGCGAGGATTCAGAGACTTTTTCCAGACTGAAAAACTTAAAGGGGAAGATGACTAAACCAATGACTGACCCAGTGTGACCAGACAAACGTACAGAAATAACTTTAGTTCAAAAATGTGACATACAAGGAGAATTTTAATGCTACACTTTATATTCTGGAGGTTTGTCTGTAACTAGGGAGTCAGCAGTTCAAACCCCCAGTGCACCCATCTGTAATCGAATTCTTTGACTAGATTCTTTACCTGCATTGATTGTAGTGTGAAAATACCTTAGTAACCCTGGACTCGATAAAGTTCTATAAGTACAGGCCCTTTATCATTGTTTAAAGGTATAGTAGAGGATGTTCATTTTCCGCGTGGATCATCCAAATAAGTGGTCCTTCTAATTGTCAATCATTCTTGCGATACGTTTTTGTAAGGCCTTCCTATGTGCTCATCCCCATTTTCACTTACCAGTGGTGAGTCTGACATAGTGGAAAAATTACAAATCTTCTTTTGGAAAGTAAGCTTGTATGAGCGATGACAACAGCAACTTTTAAACAGAGCGTCTACGAGGGGGAAATGGGCTTGTGCATGCTCGCACATGCATTTAATAGGCGTTTCCTCTCGGGAGCGGGTACAGGGTTGCGCATGTGCATATTTTTTTGTTTTTTTTAACTGGAGAGGGTGGGTAATTTAAAAAATTCGCAAAAATCCTCCACTATACCTTTAATGTACAGGTGACTTATATGTTAATAAAAGCGTTTTACCAAAATCACTGATGGCCCAAAAGCAGGACCCAAATCCTTCATAAAAAGTAAACAAACTGTGACTGAAGTCTTTTTCAATCATTGTATGATTCACTTTTCTAGTTGACCAGAGTTTCTAAGAACTTGTAATTCATTATCCAGATCTTTAGGGTTCCTCAAGGGTTCCTCATTAGAAAGGAAACGGGGTCAAATCTTCATAGCTCAGTTATAGAATTACTGAATCACTACATGAATGACTACTGGTTTTTAGCCACCATTTGTTGCTATTAGTTAACCAGCTGTTTGAAAGAGGGGGGAAAAACCAAAAAACTTAAAAGCAACATTTAGTATTTCGTAAAATCCAGAAATTAGGTTAATTTGAGATATAATAAATGTTTTTTAGGTCAATATACAGCACTAGCTTCATATCAATGAGCCTTGCTGGCTACCTTCCTACAGCTAATCAACTTGAAATGTTTGGATCAGTCACATTTTTGCTTCTAATGTAGAGTTCTATCTAGAAGTGAATGTAGGCTTTAAAAGCAAACCCATAAATTATAAATCTGCATTTTATTCCAAAACGATGATTTGATGCTCATTTTATTTCAGTGAGTCACAGATCATGGAAATTAGTAATTTGTGTTTAGCGAGCATGTTGGTTTTAAATATTTCTTCACTGTCCCCATGAGAACCACCATATGTGGGAGGATGGAACCAGACAGAACCTCTGAGCCAACATCTCAAACCATTACTGCTCAAGGCAGCGGTTCTCCTCCACAGAGGGGGGAGAGAGGTCACCCTGTTTGTGTTGCTGTAAAAGCCAGTGTGCCGTTGTCAATCACAGTCATAGCCGAGTAATTAAGTGAAATGCTACAACAGACAAATAAACTATTGCATGTTAAACGGTTGAAGGGTTCAGTTATTTTAAATGTTTCATAATGGCATTATGCTATTTCAACAAAATCTAAAGTTGGAAGGATTTAAGCGTTAAAGTAATCAAAAAGTGCCACAAAAAATACCATAAAGGAAAGGATCAAACAGACCTGGAAGTCCTGAGGTTTGTTTACTAGTCTGCGTTGACTCTGTGCCCGGGTCAGCCTCTGGCGAAAACCAGCAGCCTGCCCAGAGGATGAGGGGACTCCTGCTGGGCCACTCTGGCCCCCGTCTGCGACAGTCTCACCCGCCTCTTCATCCCCACCACCATCTCCACCTTCTAAACATCAAAGAAAAACATAAGAGAGATAAAGACTGGAGAATCAAATCTAGTAGATTTTGGTTAATGTTTGCGCAGCAACATTAACCACCATACCAGCTGCCATTGCATTTCCATCTTGAGGGTCGTTGGGGTTTGGAACAGCATTGGCTGGAGGGTCATAAGCAACCACCAGATCTATTGTAGCCTGGAAGGAAAATAAACTCTGCTAATTTCTCTTCCGTTCAACAAGAGCCAGGGTTTTATTTTTCATATTTTTTTCCCCACAAGACACTCACCCCAATACGTTGTCCACTTTCATCAACGAGAGGAACATTTTTGGACGGCAGAGATCTTGCTTTCCCAGAGGCAAGGTCTCTTAGAGGAATTTTAGTGGACCCAAGAAATCTAAAGAATGCAAACAGAAACAGAAATTTTTTCACATATTCGGATAATCGCATGCACCGATTTCATGGATTCTTTTTAGTAACAAACCACCGACTCACTCGGCTTTAGTCAGTCAGAACCTCTGTACCCAGACAACAGATGACAGGTAAATACCACAGGAGTGTTCTCAGCTGAGGTTATTTTCACAAAAAGAGCACAGAGAAGGTAACCACCCAGAGCTAACAAGCCCTGCCTGCACAGACAAACAAAACGCATTCGAAGAGGAACATCCTTTCATTCCTCTGGTTAGCCTACTGCTGCTTTCTAACATAAAGGCAATTTAAAGATCCCCAAATCTGTTCATTTGTTCTCTAAATATCAGCTGTGAATGATGCTGTGAAAAAGATCCTGCAGGTAAAAAGACCTGCTCAGTTTAAGCTGTAAAAATCTTAATGTGCACCTAAGACTTGTAATCTGGTAAATAAAGTTGAATATTTAGCACTATTTGTAGAAAGTGTAAAGACATTAACTAAAAAAATTGTAAAATATTACCGATTTGCCTTTATTGTTTGCCATTTTGATGATTATAGAACACTGGTATTCCCCCATGAATTAAAGAAGCTCAACATGATAATAAACGTTTGGCTTTGTTCTGGGGATTCCTCTAAAACTTTTGGAGATGATTTGTCTTCAGATCACATGTGCGGTAATTTTGGTTTGAGAGGATAGACAGGCAATGACTTTTTGTTACCAAGGTATAGAAAACACCGCCCTCCATCACACAACCAGATAGGCCTTGAAGAACAAATGAGCAACAAGAGAACAACAACCCTGACAGCCAGGCAGAGGAGACCACAATTTACACAAACTGAGAAAGTGAAAAATACCAGAATAAAAAAATGTGTCCTGGTCCAATGATTCTTTAAACTAGGAGAGTTAAATTTGTCATAAGTCAAATGGTAAATGTTAAATGGCCTCTGCTTATGAAGCGTCTTTTCAAGTCAGAGGACTCCAAAGAACTTTACACCACAAGCAGCCATTCACACACTGATGGTGGTGAGCTTATTTGTAACCACAGCTGCCCTGGGCCTCAGTGGCATGAAAGCATGCATCAGTCTTTCAGTAAAGTTTCTAACTCATGGTTAGTGTCTGGGGGCATTTCCTGTGCACACCGTGAAGCCCCTAGTTCCATTTGAATATTGTTTAAATGCAAAGGGTTGATAGACTATGTCCATCCCTTTAAACCAGAGTTTGCATATTCTAACAGCTACTTTTACCAGGATAAGGCATCAAATCACAACCCTTATCCTCTAAATATGGCTTCTTAAACATGATGATATGATCACCAGATCTAGACCAATTAAAACTATTTTTGGAAGTGGTCAACCACGGAACAGATCAAGGATGCAAGTTGAGTTGTGAGGCCACCTAAATCATCCAAATGCGCCGTTTCTATACCTTATTGAAAGGAAAGTTTTTACAAAGGGTACGCAACATAAAAACAGTCCTTCAGACTCGAAAAATGCTCCCTGACTCCTTTATAGAATGGATGGAATCTGAGTGATAACAGAATTTTATAAAAAGAAAAAGGAGATTCAGGGGGAGGATGTCCTCACATTGCTTTGTGATTCTTTCTTGGACAGAGAGCTGGTTCCAGAGGTTAAGATATTTGCTGTCTTTCTGCTGCTCTGTATTCAGATAAAGTTTTCACTCATTAATAGAGACCAAGTTGTAGATTTAACTGGTATCCAGCCATGACTAACCAACACCAACATAAAGATAAAAGGAAAATATTTCAATTTCCTTCCGCATAGATTGTAAAAAGCTTTAGGAGCACATACTGGGGGTACTGTATGGACTTCATTTGTAAATATTCAGTGGCTAAATTAGCCTTTAAGTACAGGAGTGGTTAGTCACACAGAAACATGAGCACAATATCATTCCTTTCAGTGACTTTATCGCCTAAAGTAAACACTTCTGTCAAAAGATTGAACAGTAGCATATTTGGAGACACCACAGACCAGAGAGCAATTTCATGCACCACACATTCCAGCAACAGCTTTTATTCCAGAAACAGTTGGATGTACACTACCGTTCAAAAGGTTGGGGTCACCCAAACAATTTAGTGTTTTACTGAAAAGTCACACTTATTCACCACCATACGTTGTGAAATGAATAGAAAATAGAGTCGAGACATTGA